TTATGATCTGGTTAAGTAATCACAACTGAAATCTTTGGAAAAGAAGGATATGTTTCTAGTCTGCTGCAAGGAGGTACTAAATCAGGCAGGCTGCTCAGGGACAGACAAGCTGCTGTTTTGAAAGGTAAATGAAGTGTGTGCTACAGGTGCAGGGTTTTAGGGGCAGTGTGCTCAGCTGTCTTCTGCCAGCAACTACTCAGACATCCCTAAGTGTTCCCATTGATCTTGATCCCATGAGTGCTACTGTGATATTGCATCTGGAATGCTTGGAATTGTGTGACCTGCTCTTCTCCAATACCTTTTGAATTGTCTTTTATCTCTTTAGGTTTTTGATCAAACCAGATGATCTTTGTTATGCATGTTTCTCTCTCAGCAGGGCTAGGACCCTTAGAAGAAAAGTCTTTCATGACAAGTTTTGACTGCACTCTCTGCCTCAGTGTAGTGACTGAAAATTAGTGTCAAAATTAAAATACTTTTGAGGGGAGCTCTTATGTGTAGTATTTTGTAGAGATTTGGAATGGTCTGGAATAAAAGAAAAGTAGAGATGCAGCCGACTCATAGGACCAAACAAACAAATCAGTGAGCTCTCCATGGTTTATATCTGGAGCGAAGCAACAGCATTCAATTAATAGATATTTGAAGAGGTATTTTTCTTCAGAGACAGTATTGCTGTTGAACTCTTTTTGAGTGAAATGTTCTGTATATCTTTGGAGAACAGCTCTTGAGATTTTTACTTGAAGTTTTTATTTTTGAAACGTTGATTACTACAACTAATGGCATGCTGACATCAAAGAAACGAGGATATATTAGGCAAATGAAAATTTGCAGCTGACAAAATTTATGGAAATGGTCTCAAAGCTTTTGGAACCTGTGACATAATATGTGTATCTCTGTACACATATCCTTGTCAGTCTCTGAGAATTTTCCTAGACATAAATCTAGCATGTCCACAGCATCTTACCAGCTGTTTTTAGGTAAGTTGTGGCTCATGGGAAAAATGCTTGCAGGCATTCTAGTATTGTAGATTTTAGCTACTGTAGATGATAACTGACTACAAATATATTGTACAGGGACTGTTGGATTAAAAAAATGCAATGGTAGAATAAGAAAAGTGTTTTCCTTTCATACTGGTTTCAATCTAGCAGTACAGTTAAATGTAAAATAGGAAACCAGCTATGTTTGGTGGTTTGTACACTTTTTTCCACCTCTTTAAACTGGTGCACTTACCCATTGCTGAAGTCCAGATATGCAAATTGTAAAATAGGTTTTTTGAACAAAACTATTTCTATATTAATCTAAAAAAAAAAAAAATCAAACCCACGAATATCTCCAAATTAATGTGCTAATTGCAGCACATTGCAAATTGTAAAATAGGTTTTTTGAACAAAACTATTTCTATATTAATCTAAAAAAAACCAAAAATCAAACCCACTAATATCTCCAAATGAATGTGCTAATTGCAGCACACGTAATGCACCACATTTCTGGCTTGAAGTGCCAGAAATGATTTGCAGCCCAGTCCTGCATTTGTTCAAACCAGCCATGAGTTCAGTGCCCTAAGCCCCTGTCTCCAGGAAGGAACAGTTAATTAGTGCTGTGCTGGACACTGGAGTCCTCAGGCTCTCCAGCCCTGCTGATCCATCATGTGTGGTGGTGTGACCTTTGTCTCTGGGCTCTCCATTCCCAAAGGATGGATAATTGTACTTATGGTCTTGCAAAGTATAGTGACAGAAATTCTGACTTTTCCTTTTCATCTGGGTGCTCAAGGTTGAAGTGAACTTCTGTGGATTAACCAGTGTTATGAGATTCTCTGCAATTTACTGCCTGAGAACAGTTGTGGAATCTTCTGGTCCAGTACTTCTGCTTCTTCAGCCAGCCTGACTCTCAGTATCTTACCCATCTAGGACTTCTTATCTCTGCATTTCCTCAATGTCACACACAGTTTTGTACTTCCTCTTTCTCTCACACCCATTAACTTCAGTCTTTTACAGCTATTAATCCCTGTGTGGAAGATATTTTGTAATTTTTTGTTTTGAGCGGTGGAAGGGAAAGGCAGTGGTCAGAACTGTGCTCAAAATCCAGCCTATCAGACAATGTATATTTTGTAGTTAATTTTTCCCATCCAAAATAGTTAATTTTGTCACTTTTGGGCTAATTCTTTTGTTCTTCTTTAATTTATAAGGTGAAAATATAACAGGTGGCAGAAGAAGAGGGGACATTGAAGTTGTTTCCTAGTGTTTCTTCTAAATTGAAAGTTGAGTTAATCTGCCTTGGGCAAGGAGAACCCCCTTCATTGTGCTTTAGCATACACTGCCTGTGTCTGCTGGAGCTCTGCAGTGTCACATGGGCTGGGGACTCTGAGAGCCCCAGTGCCTCAAAACTCAGGAGTTCTGCAGGAGAACAGAGGCTGGGAGCTCTGCACAGCCCTGCTGCTGGTTTAACTCGGGATCCTCTGGTTTGTGGAACAGAACTATTCCCTCCTGCAAGGCAAAGGGTTGGATTTCCAATATGACAGTGAAAAGTAGTAGGGAACATTTGTGTTGGAGCTTGAGCTTGTCTGCTGTGAGCTGTATATTTAAGACTGCTGATACTCTGAGCTGAGTAATGACACTTTTTATACAGATCTTTGAAAAATCAGATAAAAGTGTGTCCTTTAAAATTTCCCTTTAAGAAGTTGAGATTTGTTTATCATGGCAAGTATCTACATATGTGGAGAGAAAGTGTTGATATTAAGCTCTTAAAGCTGAAACATTTGAAAATCTCTTCCATGATCCTAAACTTTTAGCATAAAAATTCTGGTTATGATTTCTCTGCTGTCATGAAAAATGGAAGTCAGGCTTATTTTCTGAAAGATCCCTTTAACAGCGGGTTTTTCATGCTTAAAAATGTTAAAGATTTGATTTTCCCCTCATCAGGTTCTGAAACTGTTTCTTTCAGTAGAGTTGAAATAAAAATAATCAGCCGTGAATTGTGTTCTCTTCTTTGCCTGTCTCCATGGTAGTGAAGTGATTTAAATTGGTATGTCCATCTCAGTCCTTGTAACCGTGCCAACCTTTTTAAATGTGAGCTGTTTTAGTCCTCAGTGCTGAGATTCAGACAGTACTCAGACTCAGATTGCAGCTTCTGCTCTACCATGTAGTAGTTGGAGTACTCTGCACTGTGTTAGAAAATGAAAAGTCTAATGTCATTAAGACATATTTCTAGTTTGTTTATTTTGTGCATGCAGAGAAAAAGATCAATTTATAGGGTTGGGGTGGAATTTTATTTTTTTTTTAAGATGTAGGAGACAAAAAGAAAATGCATTCTCCCTTGGAAGCGCAGAATTTGTTTCATGGAAGTATTAACCATGCTTCAACAGAAACATATGTCTCCTGTCAGATTTCTGAATTTAAGCAAATGATAAAATAATTAAATTTAAAACTCTAGATGAACTGGTGAGTCTCTGGATAGCATATCTCCATTTGCTAACATACAACATGAAGTGTTTAAAAAGTTTCACTCTGCATGCAGGTCGCCTGTGAGAAAATACGTATTGCAGGAGAGCTGTGCAAGACATTTATGGTTCCCAAAGAAGGGAGAGCATAGCCCACAATTCAAGGAACTTTAGTTAGTAAACAAGGTTTATTCCAAAATATGCAACATGGAATAATGAAGCATAGTAAGTGTTAGCCACTTTTCCCAGAAGCTGTATGGGTCTTGCATGCAAAGTGATATACAGAGCTCTTATAAGATTTTACTGGCATGTACTTTTTTCTTCTTTGTTTCCCTTAGCACAGGAAAACCTCCATTAGTGATTCTAATCATGCAGCTGTTATGTTGTCTTCCTCCTTAACCTGCCCTAGATGAGTTGAAATTGCTTGCTTTTTAAATGCTAAACTTCAGAGAAACTGACTGGATTTTAACAGTATTTGCTAAGAAAATGTCTTGAGGTACATTCCCTTAAATTTAATTGCTGCTTCTCTTACTGTGCCTTTGTTAGAGTGTTGTATGACTTGGGAAAAACAATTTGTGTTGTGTTCTAAGCTGTTGTTGAAACTTGAATTGAACATACAGATGTCTGTATATTAGGAACTTGGCCTGGAAATAAAATATTTGGAATGTGTACATTTATTTGTATAGTAATGAGAGGAAGCCCCTTGTGTATGAAAGGGCTCAGTAGGATGATCCAGAATTCAACACTTCTTCTATTGCTGCGACTACATGATGTGGTAGTGATTAATTTCAGTATCCATTGGAGGCCTCTTCCTAACCCTGCAATGCTTGAAAGAAACACGTTTGGTGAATTGTCCAGTCTGACATCACAAAGCAAACATACTCTCCAAATGTTCTCACTCAGTTCAGTGATAATTTGTTTTGTTGGTTGTCAGTGAAATAAGGTATTGTGACTTTATTTTAGGAACAGCAGTGTAAAAACTGAGATCCATATTTTGCTGAAATACTGAACAATAAACCAGAGTCTCTTTTTTGCAGTAGTGGACAGCATTACAAAAAAAGAATTTTTATTACTGAACATTTATGTAGTAATCTCCTCATATCTAGAGCAAGACTTGCTAATATGAAGTTTTTAAAGTTACTGTGTGAGGTTTTGGCACTGGTGAAGGGAAGGACAGTGCTGATGTTGTAAATGCTGATATTTAGCACAGCAAGGACCTCACCATGATTGAGGCAGCTGCAGTAGAAGAAGATTGGTGATAGACTAATTTGGTTCTTGAGAGACCTTTTATAATGCCAATAATAACTGGCAAGAATTTGGCTGCTTTTGTAGGCACTGGCAGAAGCTGAACCCTCAGTGCTGCTCATATTGCTTAAGTCTTTTTGTACGTAGGTAGTGGGAGACCTTTTGATTTGTTAAAGACTTTAAGTCTTTTCCAGTTCTGCTGTAAAACACGTCTTCTGGCGAGAAATTATTTGTGACACACAGAACTGAGAAGGAAAGATTTAGAAAATGGATTCTAAAAGAAGTCACTGCCATTAATTTAAGTTTGTTTCTAACATTTCAGATTTTTCTTCTTGCCTGTCCCCCATGTCGGACTGCAATGATTCTCTTCAGGTATTACCTCTTCCTTACTGTTTTTCTGTCTACTTGTACAATGTATTTTAGAAGTTAATCACTGCTTAATTTATAAAATACTAAGGGAAATATCAAGTTGGAAAGGCATATTGGTTGGATTGAAAAATTTGAGAAGGGTCAGCGCTTAAATCAGGGTGTTGGGGCCCTTATCCTTGCTTCTTGTGTGTTGGTGGATTTGGCCTCACTTATGAGCAGGAATTAACTCAGTAACAGTGGATTAATGTATGAGCTACTATAATTTGTGTCATGGGCCTTGAACCTTTCTACCATCCTCAGTAGAAATTGTAACTGGGCCTTGCTGGAAGCTGTGCAGGCAGTCTGGGTCTGATTTCAAAATTGTGGATAGATAAAGTTAAATAGGCAAAGCAAATTCTCTCTGGCTTCGTTGGGTATTTCTCAGATCTCTGCAGTCTTTTCTAAAATATTGCACATTGTTACTGACTGCTGCAGCAGCAGAGCCCAGGGTGCAGCTGAGGGTGCAGCCAGTGTGTTGAGGGGAGGGTCAGGGACTTCCTGGGCACTGGTACTTGGCACTGGCTGTAGCTGCCACCATGGCATTAAACTCTGATCTTCCTTGTCTTAGTCTAGGCAAAAATGATGCTAGGGGAATGCCTTAGACAGTCTTTCATCAGCTTTTCCCTGCTGTTCCTTATTTCTGTAGGGATTATACTGAACAAAGACTGTATTAGCACCTCTGTGTTGGAGAGTATGAAAAGTATGTCTGCTGTGCAGGAAGTCTTTGCTAAAGACCAGTTGTAGAGCGGACGCCACAATATTTGTTGTTTTTCAGAATGGGTATTTCTATTTTCTAACACCCTGACAGCATATAAATTATATTTGAAAATCTGTTTTAAAATTGTAGTACCTTTTCATCCCTCAAGTTACTTTTAAATTCCTAGGAGTTTGACAGACAGTGGTGGGAGACAGTTTATTCTTTACTTTGTGTCTAATGTAAAATAGACTAAAATAGTTCTGATACCAATTTTCTGTTCCTGTGATCCAACAGTAGTTCAGAAAAAAGGTGGCTGAAAGCTGTACAAATGATGGTGTATCATACTACTTTCCTGCCTTGTGCTTTGCTTAGACTTGCTGTTGCATTTTGATAAATGTAATTATTTTATTTAAGGGACTTCTTTCAAATTCTTAAAGCTTTACTTTGAAGCTGTTTATGCACAGCATTAAAGAGAAGTAAAACCCTTCATCAAAGATGCTATATTAAGCTCTGGAAGACAAATGAACAGCAGAATTCCAACTATTTAGCAGCTTGCATCATGAACAGGATTATAGGCAGCCCAGGCTTTCTAGGATTCCAAAGCTCATTATAGAAAGCAGTCCTTAAGTGTGTATTTAAAGATAGGATTTTGTCCAGTTTTATTGCATTTAATAGTGACTTACTTAAAATTCAAGTCTAAACAATTTTTAAGCATCTTGCTGTCTTTTATTGAAGAGCTACTACATAAAAGACATGAAAACATTATTAATGCATTTTATTTCCATCAGTGAAAATATCTCTTTTCTAAGGTTGCAGATGCATATGCTGAATGGGGCCCTCTTAGCATTGCTGTTTCCTGTTGTTAATACACGCCTGGTGAGTGTACTGTGGTTTTCCTCCTCCTTTTTATTTATTTCTAAAAGATTATCTTTGGACAGATGTCATATGTTTGCTTTGCTTGGCCTTTTAAAGTTCACTTTATCAGGCTGTAGACTCCTGGTCACTACAGTGGAGCCAAAATAGCAGTCTTGGATTTTTGGATGTTTACAGCTTGGTATGAGAAGACAGTACTGCTGTATTGAGTGTTAGCTCCATTCTAGCCATTAATGGAGGGAAAACTTGATGGCTTTGAAAGAGGCCTTCACAGGTTAACCCTGTGGCCTGTGGTCAAAATTCAGTTTCAAGATTTTTCAAACTCTAAATGTAAGATTCCTCAGGCCTGGAAAATGCCAAATGTTGTTGTTGGCTGTCATTCCCTCTCCCCCAAGATTAGGCACAGCAGATTTTTTTTTCCCATACAAGTTTTCAAATCTGCTGTAAAACTTCAGTCTCCTGGACAAAAAAATGGAAGCTTCTGGCATAATTTCATGGTTTCCATTTTCTTGTAATGTATCTCTTAATTTTTTGTTGTTGGTTTTTTTAGAACCTCAGTAATTTCAAAATTCTTTTAAAATAGTAGTGTATTGCCAGTGAAAATGGCGAGTTGGCATATTCACTGAAACTACAGTAAAAAGTTTCTACCTTTGGTTATTTTAATCTTTCAGTCAGACTGTGCTAAACAATGCAGTTAAAAATCTTGCTAGACTATAACAGGCACCTAGGATAGTGTTCAAAAATGTAGCCTGAAAGGTGAGGTCAGTCTATTCTGTTCTTTCCAAGAAAATATGTTCCTGCCTTGGCATGAGGTTGAGGAGCCAACAGTTAACAGACTTAAGCAACAGATGCACCCACTTGCATTTGTTTGGCACCTAAATATTGCAGCTATTTGCTACATTATTTGCCATGTGCTGATAGAATTAAACTCTGTGCTTTGGGACAGACACTGGATAAAGATAAAACTCTTTCTTGTCCAGTCAGTGCTTTTTTGAGTTCTTCTTACCCTTTCAGAAATAAAAGATGAGAAGTTGATGAGGGAATTGGCTTGTTAGGCTCCCAAAAGGGAGCCAGCAAGGTATAAGAGGATATACAGGAGTAGAAAAATTTATTTTCATTCTGTATTTATATTCTATGGCACACAGTGTAGGTCCTGATAACCTGGCTGTGCATGTAAATTCATTTAACTGCCACAAAGACTCTGTTTGGAAAGCAACTGGGTTTGCTGGAGCTTTCATGTTGCATTAATCAAATTTTAAAGAAAAATTTTTCACTGGTATGAAAGTGGAGATTTTTTGCAAGCTGATGTCCTGAAAATATTGATATAGATAAAGTAAAAAACAGGACATGTCCCAGAAGTGTTGGATACATGGGTGTCAGCTCACATGGCTGAGATGGTGCAGTTTTAATGTTTCCAGAAGCTGCTATATTCTATTCTTAGAGCTATTTGGCCTGAGAGATCCACATTCTAATCTGTGTTAGGAGCAGAATCATATTCTGAGCAGGACTTTGAGTGCATTCCATGTATGCTCCAGTCATTGGCTGCTGTATTGTTGCTGATTGTTAGAGTAATAATTCACTGCACTAAATGGTTTAATGTAATGGCTGTGCCTGCACAGCAGAATGGAAGAGGTTTGGTAGCACATTGTCATCTCTAAACTGGCTTAATCTAACTGGCACAAGGGAAAACGACAGGAGCAGTGGGGGGCCGTTGAGAGATTGTGCTTGGGTGGCTGGTAGGTGATAAAGCCAGTTTGTGCATATTTGGGCACTTGTACATGCTGTGTGTATTAAAATGGTATGAGTGTGTAATTTGCTGATAATGTCTAAGAAGGTGGCTGGTAAGTACACAGCATTAGGCTGTGTTCTAGGCGTCCTACAGGAAAGACCAGAATCTGAGTTGAGTCCCTTCTATTTCTTTTCTGCCACACTCTGCAGTCTTTGTAGAGAATGATGGAGGTGGTGCTCTTGCACAGTGCAATGCCTGAGCCAGGGTATAAATAATTAACAGAGAGTGGAGTGCTACTGTCAGAAACCAGAGCAAAGTGTCAACCTGTGAGCCCTCTGAAAACCATCTGCTGTGTCTGAGTGTTCAATCTAAATTAGTATTGTGTCCATACTCTTTTGGGGTGAACTCAAAATATCTGACTTCGGGGCTCCACTCTACTGCTGCCTTGAAGAGATTTTTCTAAAGCTTTCTTCAGTGCATGGAAAGATCTCATTGTTCTCTTTGGGCAGCAGCTGGTTTAAGTTAGAACGTGAAGTCTTACTTGTTTTCACAAAGAGATTCTTTAAATCCTTGATTGAGGGGAGATCCCTTGTGCCTTGTCTTCATTTCCAGTTTCTCCTCACATGTGAAAGGTGCTTATGCTGAGTGAGTCTTTTATTGATAAAACTGCTTATAGAAAAGGCACAAGATGCAGGTGAGTTAGTTGCTCAGTACAGCTTGCCTTTTGTGTTTGTTGTAGCCTGGCTGTACAACTTGAGTGCTTGTACAATAACTCTGCAGCTCTATAGCAGGAAATGCACTTGCAGAATCAGCCAGGCCTCAGAACAAGCTGTCTTTTACAGTGGGAAAAAGATGTTTTGTTTTACACACACAAAAAAATACTGTCAACACTACTGCAGCATAACAACTGTTACTCTGTTCTCAGGAGTGTCCCAGCACAGTGTTTGTGTAACAGATCCTCACAACTCCACGGCTGTGGAAGCCCTTTTGACACCACAGATAAATGGAGAATGCTCCTTGGCAGGAGTGAGTGCCTCATGTCGTGGTGTTTATATCAGGAGCAATTGTTTCTGAAGTGGGAGAGATAGTTTTTTCTTCAGTTAGGATCACTGTTTTAGCCCATCCTAAATAATTTTAATTCCCTCACTTTGCTCTCTGTCTTGTTCACTGAAGGACAGTAGCAAAGGTTTAGGTTTAGGAAACCTCATCATTTTCATGAAGATCTTGCTTTTGCATAGTTACCTTGTGTTTGTTTTGGTACAGAATACTTGGGATGAAATAACCCAGCAGATTATATTGAAAGGTAGTTTTAGCTTAGTCTCTACAGGAGCTGGCTGACCACCTTGGAGGTTGCCATCAGGACACACACAGCGTCCAGTGGGGAAATGCCAGGACTAGCAAAATCCAGTTGTTGATTTTAGAATCTTCTACGTTCAAAATAGGATATAAGAATTGTAGTTGAATTGAAAAGATTACTGTGTTATTTACCAGCTGTTTGACTACTGGTTAGGAAGAAAATCAAATTCTCTTTCAACCTCTCTTCTGTTGATGTAGAAATTTCTGTAATGTTTCAGTTTCAAGGCTGTGACTTCAGTGTCTCAGAAGAGTCACAGAAAAAGGAAGGCTTTTCTCCCCACTCCCTGCTTCCCAACACACAAGCCACAGTGGTAGGTCCCGTGTCTGAATTCTTCTGGCTGGAAAATGACAGAGTCTCCATTTGAATCAAGGTTTTTCATTATTCCCATGAGATTTCATATTTGTGGTATTGTCCAGTTTTCAATTCAGAAAAATAATGCAGCAGGTGTGGCTTTTCAGCTCTGTAAGTCAGATGCAGAAAAAGCTGAATTCTGAATTTTTGAGTGTTTTCTACTACTGTTCAGTTTCAAATGTGTTGCTTTAGTGTAATAAATGTAGGCTGAGGTACTTATAGATGTGACTAACTTTCAAATACAGTGCATCCCTTCTTCTAACTGATAAAGAGCTAGAAATAGTTGGGTCTGGATTAGGAGGCTCAAACACAGAGATATCTTGAAGTTATTTTTAGTATTATTTTAGGTGTCTGACTTCTTAGAAGAGAAGTTACACTAATTCAAATAAACAAAAAAATGACTAACTGTAATTTCCCAAAAGTTGTCAGCAGGTAAGAAACACTTGATTCATTATTAACTGGTAACTTGCTTACATTTAATTCTGCAGCTTGTGTTTAAAACCAGTAAATGACTGGCCATTTTATATTTTAATTTATATTTGGTCAAGGTTATCAGTTCTGTACATGCATGCAGGTTGCTATAAATCAGGTCTTTTGATTTTCCTCTTATATTACTTGTATATATTTATATACTTTTATATATAAAAGACCTCATTTGTAGAGTTCTCTCATAAGTTGGCAAATATCTTTTCTTTCTAAAAAGACTTCTATGCTGTGGGGGTGTGCATAATTTCTGATTTAATTATTTTAGTGGTTTGCATTGTTATTGGTAATTCATGCTAGTAAAGAAAGGGAAAGAGCAACCTTATGTTACTCCTCCTTTGTTGTGCTTCTGGCTAATTTTGGGAATTACCTACTGGAAGTGCTGTGTTTGTGTTAAAGGGGAAGGAATGGGTACAGTCAGCTGCACTTTCAAGGCACTGACCGTTAATGTTTGTTATTATACATAGGTGATAAAATAACTGAAGGCATTGTCATGGGTTAGAAAAAGAATTGTTCCTTGGAACTTGGTTGTTAATGATGAAAAATACTTACAAATATTTTCCTTATTCCACAGCTTCCATTTGAAACAGAGATTTATTACATCCAGCATGTGATGCTCTATGTCGTGCCCATCTATCTGCTGCACAAAGGAGGTAGGTGGGCAGTTTTCTCCCTATGGATTGAACTGGTCCTATGGAATGAAAACACTGTGCTTACTGGATACCATCAGTTTTATTCTTACCCTTTTTAAACCAATTTTCTCTGTTTTTAATTAATAGTTCCTGATGTTCTAGTGTTCTAATGTTGGAGTTTTAACCCAGGTAATGAGTTGTGTCAGGCACTAAAAAAAAATTTAAAAAATGGTCTTTGGCCTGAAAGGATATTTAGAATGTATTTGCACAATGTGCATTGTCTTCTTGAGCAGCACCTCTGCCACCTTACAATATTCTCAGTTGTTGGTGGAATGTATTTTTAAGATTTTTATCTTCTTGGATGTTTCTTGAGAAGTACTGGAACTGAAAATGAGCCAAAAAAAAAAAAGTTGTCTAGTTAGATAAATCCCAGAAATTCTGAAGCTCCAGTGGAGTGTAGTGACATGTATCACTGAAATGAACTAGATTGCTTGTTATCCCTTCTAACAATGTTGCTGTCTTGCATTCACTTCTGCCACAATAGTTGAGTCAGTGTGGGACTTGTTTCCCTGGCCAGTGATTTTCCCAGTTGTGGATCCTCAAAGGGAATGCACTAGACATTCAGCTGGTGTGGTGCTCTGCCCCCCTCTAGTGCTGACATGCCTCTAGCTGCATTTTCTAGCAGAGCTGGATTGTTCCATCCCGGAAATAAAACATGATCTTTTGTGATCCACATGTTCAGTAGCCTTTAATGAATGCCCTGAGGATGTGATGTCAAGCAATGGGATGCAGTCAGGCTCTTCCATCCTGCTGAATGCATTGTGTTCTATACCAGTGGTCACTTAAAATCATTCATCCTCTTTCACTGTAACCTTTGTGTTGCAGTGACCTGATTGCAGTGTGACCTGCTGAGTGAAACTAAGAAAAATGATTCAAAGGAAAAATGAAGTCTTGTACTTAAAAAGATGATTCTGTTTCTTTATTTTATTAGGGAAATATGCCAGCCATGTTTTAATTTTAAGCCACCCTTGATAGCCTAAAATTCTAGCAAATAATGCCCAAGTGCAGGGTAGTTGTAGGAGTTATACAAACTCATAATCTTTGCAGGAGAAGGGTGACGAGCAGGGGGCAGAAAACATGAGCAGCCATGGAGTGAACTGTAGGTAGTGACAAAGCTGTTGTGATGTCAATACATCACCTGGTGGCCTTGGAGTTCCCATCTGAGGTCACTTTAAGACAGTCCTTTGCTTTAAAAAGGCTTGGCCTTGGATGATGCTTGATGTGTTCTTTTGATTGTTTGGTGGTTTGGTTTGGCTTTTTGCTTGTTTTGAAGTAGAGGTTCTCAGGGCTCTTCAGGACCTGGGACTGACAAGAACTGGATTGGCAGTTTGAAGGGTTTGATGTTGGACAGTTGTCACCCTGGCTCAGTGTTCTGAACCCCTGCCCTGTATTTATGTACAGGTATTTGCTGCCATCTAATGTTCACGTGGTGGCAGTAAAATTATTTAAAGGACTTGGTTGGCTGAACCTGTCAATTGAGATTGCTCTGGGCTGTTTAACTAATAAATGCTCCACTTCTTATGCACTTGGCTCCTGGTCACCTGACTGGGTGTAATTAACAAAACACCCATGAACTCCTGCCACAGGTGACCTAATGGATCATTTTTGGTGGAAAAATTATGCAGCCTAAAAATATTTGTTATTGTTAATTGTGTCATTCCACTAGCACCTCTGTTTAAGTATTTTCTGAGTAGGTCATACTTTGTCCTGAGTTTCTGTATCTTGTGAAAATTGCTCTTTCGTCACTGACATTGATCAGCATGCAGCTTGGTTTCAGTATTGTAAATAGAAATTTCCATCAGTGAATCTGTGGATTATGGTTGAGTGAAGTAATCATAGGGCAGAAATTCGAAAAAAATGAAAAGGAATGGATTGTATTTGGAAAACTATACTACTTCAGTTTTATTGGGAATCTGCCTACATCATTACTGGTGATCTTGATAGGATCCAAACATTTCTCAAAGATAGGGTGAGCAGAACACCTGAAGCAGAGTGGATTTGAGGCTCAGGCTATAGAGCTGCACCCTCAAGTTTGCTTGCAATACCCTAATCAGGCATTGCACCAGCCACGCACGCACATCCAACTGCCTGCTGAAGTGTTTCCTCTTTGAAAGGAAACTAGTGACAGTAAGCAAGGGCTGTAATAATTTATTTTCTGTCTTTTCCTGCTACTTATTGCAGTGGTGCAGGCTGACATGCCTTCATGTCCTTCCCGACCCTGTAAGAGGGGGAGCTTTACCACACTCAGCAGCACGTGGATGAGAGAGGTGTTTGGAACTCAGTGTTCAGTGTTGCACAGTGAACTCACTGGAGCTCAAGGACATGGATCCCTTTTGGGGAGTAAAAACTCCTCTTCCCTCTCAATCCTCTCTGTACTGAGTGAATATAAACTTCCATACTTCCATTTCTTAACGTATCTTCTTTCTAAGTGCATATATGCATGTATACATAGCATGCATGCCAGGCTAGACAAATTAAATGCTTTTTACACCATGGCTCATCTTTCTTGGCAGCACTAAGAGGATCTCATGCAAAATAGATGTAGTGTGGATGTAACAAGCCAGCACACAAGATTCCTACCTCAAGTCAGTTCTTACATAAAGTATATCTGCAGTTGGCACTTTTATTTTACTGGATGAATCTCACCTTGTATCACCTGCCTCCCTCCCAAAATTGCAGTATGCATGTGAGCAGGAGTCAGCATTCTAGAAACAGCTGGAGGAGTTGAACCAGACCTTGCAGGTCACTGTTTTCTCTTGTCCTTAAGAAATGAGACTCTCAGAGACCTTCAGTGGGGTCAGGACAGCTAAGTTCTTAAACTGTGCGTTCTTAAGATAATGAAAAAAAAATCTAGTTTGCACTACATCAGGTTTAGAGACTGATGATGACTGTTTCTGACTGTCTTAAGCTTGTTTAGTCAGGTTTTCCAAAGGATTTGACAAGGTCAGGTGTGCACCTTATTTCAGAACATCAAATCATATTGGAAGTTAATCAAGGCAGAATTGTTATTTCCTTAGTGCAGTGATCAAATGATATTCTAAATTACATTATTGCACAGCAGACTGAAATAAGGGTGAATTTGTAGCAGCTCCCTAGAGCTCAGGAGATAATCTGCCTGTGTTTTGATATCCCCAGTGTTATTTATTTGAGTTAGTAACTCCAGTAGGTAGAACAGGCTGTTGGCACTGAGATGTTTAGGATTCTGTGGCTGCAGGGAGCGATGCTGAGAGTCTGTCCTGCAGCTGCGGGCCGGTCTGTCAGGCCGGTCCGTGGGGCCGGTGTGTCCCGCAGCTGCGGGCCGGTCCCTCGGGCCGGTGTGTCCCGCAGCTGCGGGCCGGTCCGTGGGGCCGGTGTGTCCGGCAGCTGCGGGCCGGTCCGTGGGGCCGGTGTGTCCGGCAGCTGCGGGCCGGTCCGTGGGGCCGGTGTGTCCCGTAGCTGGGGGCCGGTCCCTCGGGTCGGTGTGTCCCGCAGCTGCGGGCAGGCCCGGCGCTCGGCGCGGCGCTGCTGTCAGCGGGCTGCGCTGCGCTGTGCGGCCGGCAGGCGGGGCTGTGCCCGGCGCCGTGAGGGAGGGCAGCTCCGGGAGGAAATGCCCTTCGGGAGCCGGGCCTCCGGCGATGGCCTGGCGAGGGCCGGGCAGCCGTGTGCGTTGCCCCCGTGTGCCTGAAGGGCGGATTTGCCGCGAAATAAATGAGTTTGCTGGGAATAAAGCAGAATTTTCTTCTTCGGCAAGTGCTGTATCTTTATAAGGAGAAATGTGCCAGTGTCTGACTGAGGTCCCAAGGACCTTTTGTTGATCTGTCTTTAAAAGTGGCGCCAGAAGAGAAGCTCTGTGGCATTGTCACACAGTCAGTTGAAGCTGTTGATTTTATTTTCCTTTTCTCCCTTCTCACGGAGGACGCCTCTGTGTGCTCGGCAGCGGGGCAGGAGCAGCCTGCACCGGCGGCCCCCTCAGGGCAGGCAGCGCTCCGGGCCTCAGCGCAGCCTGGCCTTGCTGCAAGATGCAGCACACAGATACCGAGCACAGATGAAAGGATCCTTTTTCCTTTGGTTGTAAATTAGGAAAGTGCAATTAAAACACTAAATTTGTGTTTTCCATTGGCTGTTAGGACCATATTTAAAGACCCTTTTTTAGCTGTTGCACCCTATGTCAGCCACTTTCCCACTTTGTGACACTTCCCTGCCTTTAGAAAGCTAAGGAAAGAAATAGCTAAAGGAGTTATCAAGCAAGCTTTATTATATACCTTTAGTAGTAATCCAGGAGAAATATCACTTCACATTTAGATACACTTAGGCAGTCATAAATCTAGTCCATCTCGATCTTTATTGAAATAATTGATAATGTGTGATACAGCTCTTTTGCTGAAACTGAATTACTTAGAGAGCTATTGACTCTTGCATGTTATTTCCCTACTCTGCTTCTAGCAATTCCGTGTTCTATTCCAGGTTTCTCCTGTAGTTTGAATATTCGAGGATAATCTTGTTTGATGATTTAAGAGAGAGGAAGAGGAGGGGATGTGTCTCTGTCCTGTGACCCTCGGAGCTTTATGCACCGGGCAGTTACAGTTGGTTTGAAAAATGAAGTATCTCTCCAGGAGATGCAGAAATTTAGAAGGGCAGGTGCCAGTATCTGGAAGAACTGCTACTATATGAAGGTAGAGGAAGAGCTACTGCTGCTGCTTTATAGAATATAAAAAATGATTCCTGAGAGAAACAGGTACTGTAAGAGCTCTGTCTGAGCTGATTCTGTTGGGAGTAGCTGGCACTGAGGGGAAACAGAAACCTCCTGGCATAAGGCACTAGTTTGCAACCTACACATGGAGTCAGAACAGCTGTAGAGGAAACATGGATTTCAGGATCATCCTCTTAAAAACATTTTTTTTTCCTGTTTTCCCCTGGAAAGGAAGTTTTATCTCTAGTCTAGCTCAATAGGCCACTCAACTGGAATTAACCCTCTGATCAAGGGAAATAAAAGGAAAATAAATTTGCCCATGTATTTTTGTAAGCTTGAAAATGAAATAATTGTAATAGTTGCTTGAGTTTTGGATTAAGCAGGTCTACTTATAATTGTAAGATAACTGAAAGAGAGCATGCAGCACTAGAAAACTCATAAAGCTCTATCAAATGTAGTGGGAATGAAAGCAAGGCATTAAAGAGATTATTTTAAACCCTACTAAATTAAAAAATTGTACTATATTTAGATTCCACTTCTCTGATTCAAACAGAGGGGTAATTTTCTTCTGCATTATGTTTTCACAGAAACACAAAAGGAGTATTGCTCTCTGTTGTGTTCAAATTTTCAGAAGCCTGTGTATTGAGAATTTTAAATAAAAATAATAGTTCATAAGAACATTTGAACTAGCACATTGTGGGGAGGGAACAGTATAAAAAAATGGCATCTCTTTGTTGATCTTCAGTTTTTTAAAGCCATGCTTAATTTCCTAGATGTTAAAATGATCGACTTGGCATATTCAAGGTCAACAAAGTCTTGTTTAGAAGCAGATGAAGAACCCCAAACTCTTCAGTCTATATGGAATCCTTTGTATCAATGCTACTGAAGTAAAGAAGTGTAATTTAAACGGAGGTATCCCCTGCCATGCTGCTTCAGCACAGGAGCAAACATGCAGCCTGCCTAGATGGCCCCAGCTTGGAATGGTCTCAGCTGTCTGGGGAGTGAATGCTTTTTGAGAATGAGATCAGTGCCACACTGGCACTTGGACTAAATTTCTGTAAGTGCTTAATGTATAAGAACTGCCCATGATCCTTCATAAATAGAGAGTGAAACTCTGCTCCCACCTACTGAAATTGATTTCCTATGCAAGCAGCTTTTGCCAAAGCCAACACAGGCCCTTCAAACAGCCACTCAGCTGGCTCTCAATTTTCCTGTTTGTGTTTTTCTTTTAACAGACTGTACTATGGAAAATAGACCACACTGCTCCATTAAACAGCAATCCATTGAATAGCAGGGCTGTAGAGTAATAAAATCTATAGTGGGTATTTATATAATGAGAAATGTACAGAAAGTATCCCGGGTATGAATTTAAAATTAGTTTCCCAAAGCACACTATGGAATCTAGAGTGCTCCAAAATGTTTTTGTGTGGAGGTCAGTGTTTCGTTTTTGTCCTTTGATGTCCAAACAGTGCTACTGCTGAAAACCACACCATTATTTTCAGGATTGCAAAGTTTAATAAGAAGGGATATTTTTAGTAGGAAGCAAGACCAAAAATCTGTAGAGAGCGAAAGTTGCTGACGTTTTCTTTTTTTTTTAAATTTTGCAACAGAGCAAGGATGTAGCAGAGGGAAATTCCTTGTTGGGGGAACCTGAAAAGCCCTGCTAAGGGACCTCTGAAATACCATTCCCTGATTAGACTGAGCTGGACATGAGAGGCCTGGGTTCAAACTCCAGTTGTGCCATGGATCCGTGTTGCCATCTTGTGCAATTTCTTTAGTCCTTTAATAACTGTTGTCTCCCTCCAGTCTCATTTTATAGCTGGGGTCACTTGCCTGTAGTGGTATTTATACCCTACCTGCCCTGTAAGTCACCTGGATATGGAGGTGTCTGTATTTCAGCTTTCCTGCATGCTCACCCCTTCAGACTCTCACCAGGCTTTGTCAAATACTTTTGAAATAACACAGGCAACTGCCAACAGAAACCTAATTTGGTTTAGCACTGCTCAGCCAGTTCCCGGGAGCTGCTTTGATACCTTATTTAAATTTCATGTTGTGTTTTGTATCTAGGTTAAACATGCACCTAAAACTGCAAGGACATTATAAATAAATTTTGCAAGTCAAGCAGTGTTTTCTTTACAGCAGAGAAGGGAGTACAAAGAGTTTCTGCAAAGCTTGACCAGGTCACCTAAAGTTGGTGCAGCCAAAAATAGAGCCACGATCTCCTGCACTCTGACACCAAGGCTCATTCCTCCTCTTCTCTCTGTAATGAAAAACCATATTCAAGGTGGTGTCACCTGTCTGATGTTTTCAGGCCATGGAGTTTAATGAATATCATTGCTGTCTAAGTCAAGACTTCTGTACTGTTTTCTGAATAGGATGCTAGCTCACACTTGCCAAGTGCTTCCCAAGAATTACTGTTGGGAATTTTTTCCCTTTACCTGCAGAACTCAAAGTAATTCCTGTCGAGTTCTCTTTTACCTTTGGTTTTACTTGCTGTTCAGACACCTCTGGCCTTCACCTTCTCCCTGCATAAGAAACCTTACAAGCTGCCCTGTGCTTTCCAAGTAGCTCCTGTGCCCAAATGTATCGTGGGCTGCCCAAGTCCCAGCCTGCTCAGTGCCCCACGGTGTGCAGCGGTCCCTGGGGTGATGACCCTGCTGCTGGCTCCTCGTTAGAGCCAGGAGGGGTGTGTGGGGTGCAGGTGTGCTGCTGCCACTCACACACACACAGTCTTAGCCTGTGCAGGCAGCAGCACAGCACTTGTGTTCTTGGGAGTGAGCACTGGGTGGATGTGCAGTTTTAGACAACGGCTTGTCAGTGATTTTGAATCTGTAGCACTCACAAGATGCTATTTAATTGAGCTTATTTCAGGTAGCTACTGGAAAATCAATTTGAACTGGTGATGGGTACAAATAATGGAAGGAAACTATACAGAAACTATTTTTGAAAGGGTCACAGAGCTTGAGGAAGCATTGCTCTAGAGACCTTAAACCTGAGCTGGGATGCAGCACTAAACAGTGATGTGGTCACAGCAGTTACTTGTATTTATCTCCACAGGATGCCATACACAGGCATTTTCACAGCACCTGTGGTCTGGTGGGTGCTGGGGCAGCTGCTCTGCATGTGGAGTTATTTAAGTTTCCAGTAGCCTTGTACAGTGCATGCTGAAGTGTTTCATTACTTCCTGGTAATTACTGAGTGTGCTGGCTAGCCAAGGCCAGTATCAATATCGCACTCTGTGCTCTAAGCTGTCCTCTGAGTACTGGATACATGTTCCAGTATTTAATAATATCTAATGGATCAGAGAGCAGATAAAGGCAGATAAAAATTGCCAGTGTATTTTTATAATCCTCTGAAACTCATACAGCAGCCAAACTGCATGACATTGTGCATCTTTCCTTTGTGTTCTGAGGCTGTTATTAAAGTCATAAGGCAAATAATATTTTCCCATGTATCTTACAGTGCAATTTTCATGTCTGCTAGTAAGAGTCTAGAGAACTCTGTAAACTGGTTTTGTTCTTACCATATGAAATTTGAATATTTAATTCCCAAGATAGTCTTGTATCTATGAGTACTTTTATTAAATCTAATTTCCTTGGTACATTCAAATCAGAGAACATTGTGTTTTGTCAGTAAAGCATGGTTTTGAGAGGGTAGAGAAAGGTTGGAATAATATATTTGCTACTTCATATGAAGGGAAAAAGCATTTTACAGTATCTGTGATATCTACTGATTATAAAACTGTTTGTAGTGTATATCTGAAAATATACACAGCAGCTTTCATTTAAAAGCACAGTCTGTCATTAATGGATTGACCACCTGATACAGCTTTTGTGTTCCTTGGTATTATTGGTGCAAGTTCCTTTTTAGCAGTTGTTAAACAACCATAAAATTAGGAAATGACAATTAGGCTGTGCAGGACCTGCACAGGACCTGCTGTCTGTCAGTTCTGTGCATGCTGAAATCATAATCCCTGCAAGAAGCAGGTGTTCAAGTATAAATAACCTGACAGATTTGAAGAATAACCTGAATTTGAAGATTCATTGTACACCATTATTGCATTTATTACTTCTGTGGTAGAAGGAAGAATGAGGTAAAAATCATTGATGTTGATGAAAAATAGACAGATTTAGTGAGGTAACATATTGTATGTCTCCCTACTGGACAAGGAGGAGGGAAAAAGCTGATTAGCATGCTTCAGGTAAGAAATAAAGCTCTCAAATATTAATTGCTATAATGGTATTGAGGAGGTTATCAGCTCGAGCCAGATGTCCTGACATCCAGGAGAGAGAGGATTATTCATTGAGAGTGTGGTGGCACAGCAGTGCAGCTGAACATTAATGTATTCCTTTCTTTTCAAGGTATCTACACCCCTGAACCGCTCTGCAATTTCTGGTGGGCTCTTTTATCCACGGGGTTTATGTTTGTGTATCATTTTAGCATCTTGCAGATCCTGGGATTGGTAAGTAAACCCAGGTTAATAAATGGATAGTCTGCAAGTACATTCAGAGTAAAAACACTGAGTAGTTTGAGTGTCCAGGTCTACACGGATAAGACTACTTGCATGCAAATTTTTGATAAGGCTACTTGTATAAAAAATGGCATGTTCTAACTAGCATTTGTGTCTTATATCTTGCAAGTACTGGTAAAATAGTTCATAGATTGGTTATGTACCTGCATAAATCCATTTATTAAATACACAATGGAATTTGGATCTGCTTTTTTTTCTGAAAGCTGCCCTAATTGTTTTGAGCAAATGTTTGTCACCTGAACATTTTTGATTATTATGGTAATTCTCTAAATTTTCACTGTTTTTAGGTGAATCAGTACAAGATAAAAATATTAATCGATAAGTTTATTGTTGCTTCCTCAGGTGACAGAAGTGAATTTGAACAACATGTTGTGCCCAGCCATCTCAGATCCTTTTTATGGGCCCTGGTACCGAATCTGGGCATCTGGACATCAGACTGTCATGACCATGACTCATGGGAAGCTCATAATCCTGCTGTTTCACAGTGCTGTCCCCACCTTCAAATGGAGCATGGACTTGCTTAGACTCCCAGCTAAGAAAATAGACTGAAATTTCTCCCCACAGAGTAGTTCATACAGGAAGCAGAGATATACTGGAAAACAAAGAGGGGGGATGAGAGGACAATGGCTTTATACTTCTTCCCACAGTTTTTTGCCTCAAAAACACCTCTGTAATGAAGTGAGGTTTTTTTTTACCTGATGTTTCTCACTGCCTATTGCCAATGGCAAAATTAGTGGCCTTATTCTGGGGAAGGTTCATGTTTTATACATTTTGTATAGATTACAGTAGAATCTTGCTAAGCCACCATTTAAAATTAGGCCAGGACCTGTCCACATTCCAGCAGAGAGAGTGCCAGTGCTACCTCGTTTTGACTCATTTTCCATTAAAGAATTGTACAGGATTGTATTCCCTGTACTTCTAGGACAGGAAATAATGCTGAATTGTAGCACTCCACTGATGTGAACCAACATGCTGAACTGCATCACCTGGCTTAACTCTTAAGGCTTGAATGTTCCAAAATGGTCACAGGAAATCATGCACACTTAATCTTCCAATCAGAAGTGCAAAACAGTGAGGTTCTACTGTATTTTCTTCAAGCTGGTTGAAAATACTGGGGAACAATAACTCATTAAAAAAATTAATCAACCACTTAATTTCTAAGCTGCAGTGGATAAGTACCTATCTAGTGAAGTCCCATCATGATGCTTTGGAGATGCTTTTATTTTGGTGAGGGGAAAAAAAGAATGTTGAAATAATTTTAAAAGACCATGTTAGGTATAGGCCATGATAAGATATTGCATCCACTGTTATGTCCTGACTTTGAACAAAATGGTTTTTTTTTCACTTACCTTAGACTGGAGAAGGAGTGGAGATACAGAGTCCAGTATAAACATCAGGGGTTGTTTTTTTATACTTAGTAGCTTTTGAAACATTCCTGCTTCATCTATGCTGATCCTCACTGACCAGACTGGGTGGTGAAGAAACTGAATGAAACTCTGTTCTCTCCCTACAGCTCTGCTATATCATGTGCATTGGTTTTAAAATAAGGTATTGAAAGGAATGTCAAATCAGTGCAGGCCTCTACTGCAAAGGGCATGTTCCAGTTTAGTAGCATGTCTTTTGGAGAGCAGGATGGAGATGGGCAGAATGGTCAACTGCGTGTACCTGCTCCAGTTTTGCAGGAGGAGAAACACTGGGCAGAAAGATAGAAAATCCTGACTGTGTTCTTCCAGAATTGTGAGTCCATTATGCAGACTGTTGTGTTTCAGGGCTGCAGATTTTTCTTGTACAGAAGTTTGGGGGAATTGATAGATTGTGTTGTCAAAGCTGTGACTTGCAAGATAAACCAAAACCATCATACCTCCTCCAGCTGGATCACCTGAAGGTATGTACTGAAGTTAAGGTACAGATGTTTATACCTCAGGAAACAAAAGTAAGTTGACTTTTTTTTTTCCCCCCCTTAAAAAAGAAAAAAAAAATTATTTTATGAGGAAACAAGTGGTTACTTCAAATATTTTTACTCTACATGATTACAAAAGGTACACCTCTATCAGAAATACCTTGTCCCATATTCTGATTTACAAATTGGTTTCTGGCATTCTTCCATGCCTTGCTCTGTGTGTGTATATACAGAAATATACTGTATGCTCACAACTTGAGAACATGCAGCATGTACCTAAACTATCCCTCAGGCATATACAGCTGGTGTATTACAATAGAAGGACTTTAGACAAATTTTACAAATACTATTTTGCATTAAGGTTTCTGTGTTTGTTTTTTTTTTTTAAATTGCCTTTTTTTTGCATCTTCCTTTTTTTTTTTTTTCTTTTTTTTTTTCCTGTCAGGATATTGTAGTTACTGGAAACACTTCTCTAAGCAGGAGCCTTTTCTTTTTTCCTTTTTTAAACTATAGCATTTCCTATCTGTAATCATCTGCTTCAGGGCATTCCAAACAAGTATAAAGCAGCTGCTGTTTGCCACCATTGACTGCCTCTGGTCAATTAAAACTGCAGGAGCATTTAAATGAGCTCAGGTGTCTCACTCAGTGCAGGCTCTTTGCTTGGAAAGCAGAATTTGCAAGCTCTTCTGGCTGACTTGAAATGCAGTAGCAGGAATGTGAACGGAGCTGACAGGGCCATCCCTGGGCAGTGGAAAGGAATTCCTGGTGCAGAGCTGCTGGGAGTGGCTGCCCCTGCCCTCCCTGCCTCCTTCCCTGCCTCCCTGGTGGTCACCTGTGCTTTTCCCTCTTGGCCTGCTCCAGTTGTTTTGAGTTACACAGAAATTCGAGGTGTAATTTCACCACATGGAGTTTGCTGATGGAGCTGCTCATCAGAGCCAGTGGGGCACTTGTACTGTCCTTCTAAACCTTGTGTGGGCACATTCTGGAGCTGGCTGAATCTTTCATACCAATTTCAGCTGAGAAAATGTCTCACTGGACAAGGCAACAAAGTAGAGAGGTAACCAACTACTGCACTTAGGAAGGATTTTAGAAGCACTGGAGCTGCAGTGAAGGTATCAAATGGAGTCAGGTGGGAAGGCAGACAGTGCAACCTTCACCTTCTGAACATAAGCTGTTCCTTTGTTGTTGTGCAGTATCAGTGAGGCTGTTTCAGTTAGAACAGAATCATTTAGGTTGGAGAGAACCTGTGAGTTCATCAAAGCAAGCACTGCTGAGCCCACCACTGACCCTTTTCCTCAGGTGCCACACCTACCTTCGTGTCTTTTACACCCCTCCTGCAGCCTGTTCAGGGCTTGATAACCCTTCTGGTGAAGAAATTTTTCCTAACGTCCAATTTAAACCTTCCCTGGTGCCACTCGAGGCTGTTCCTCCTGTCATGTTGCTTATTTCCTGGGAGAAGAGGCTGACCCCCATCTTGCCTTCAGGCAGTTGCAGAGTGACAAGGCCCACCCTGAGCCTCTTTTTCCCCAGGCTAAACCCTCAGCCATTCCTTAGGTGTGTGCTCCAGACCCTTCCCAGCTCTTAATACTTTGCTTTGGATGTGCTCCAGAGCCTCCGTATCTTTCCTGCAGTGACAGGCTCAAAACTATTCCCCCCTTCCCCATGCCCTTCGTTGAAGGCTTTTAGAACTTTATGTTGATTTATGGTGACCCACCACTCAAAACTGCATCAGTGTAGCTGAGACAAGCTCTACAGAAGGGGAAGGACAGGTCAGAATGGGAGCAGAAAAGCAAAACACTTCTGAAGGAATTGCCGTGGAACTTCACATCCTTCATTCCTCACCTATCTCTGGCATCTGCTGGAAATATGCATTAGCCAGAGCTTGCCATATGTGCAGGAAATGGGAAAGCAGAGTACTTCATCTCTACAGCAGTTATTTGTTGTTTTCCCTGGCAGAGGCTGATTTTTCTTTTCCCTGAATGGTTTATTTTATAGGAAGTTACACTATACAGATTTCTTTGGTTGCTTTATGCTTATTTATGCTGGAAATGAAAACACAAAACTCTACTGCTGTTCTTGGGAGGCAACTGCATTCTCTCCTGGGGTGTTACACACTCAATCCATGTCAAGGTAACTTGAAGCTGTTGCCCAGTACCTGGTGATGAGATTTCACAGCGCTGCAGTGCAGTGCAATTGAAAGGGCTGTCCTGGGCCTCCTGGTCAGATGTGCCCAAATGTGTCATGGCACTGGGAATTTCAGCAGCAGTGGCTGTGGGGCTGCACAGCCAGACCCACTGCTCCCAGCAGCAGCAGCTGAAGCAAAGTGGAAAATCACCCCAGAGCAACTCCATTTGCTGGCCAGAATACCCCAAAAAATTCTTGTGCAGTGCCACTGCCTGGCCTTCAGAGATGCTGGTATGGGTTGAGGGGTCTGAACACAGCCCTCCAAGTGTTAGTATTGTAGGCATTTCAAAAGAAACAGGGAGTTAAGCAAACTCATTACTCCAGCTGCCACTGGCTGCATTTCCCTCCCAGTGTACCCATGAATGAAGCATTATTAGCTATAATAAACTTGTTTACTGATGGGTTTGTTTATGCAACCTTGGAATTAGTCCTCCAAAACAGAGGTAAAGCAGTAACATTTCTGCCCCCACCACCTTGTGCCATGGCTTCAGCTGTCCAGGATCCCTGCAGTGCTCTTTTTCCAGAGATTTACAGAGACACTGTGCAGTGCCTGAGCTGGATCTATTTGTTTAACTTCCTCTTTAAAGCACTAAAGGAGAATTTGCTTTGTTCTGAAAGGTGCAAACAAATAGGTCTTGCCCATGTGCTTATAAATTGATGAAAAGCCACAGTCTGCACCTGGAGGTGGTTTTGGTTCAGCTTCTTAGTTCAAAGATGCTGCCCATAAGCAACACTTATGTATGCTTGAGGAAAAGTCAGTCCATTTGCAGTCCAGTCAAACCTTGAGGTCAGAGAGTACCTAACAGTAGGTTTCTGTTTCTGGCCACAGAATTTTGATATTTCTGTATATTTGAGATAATTTTATAAAGTTCATTTGTATTTTTCAGAAATGGCTATTTGCAACTGTTAACTGACTGTACTTTTGTGTCCTAAGTCTTGCATCTAAATCAGAAGCGTTTGTTTTCTATGCATCCATAGCTAATGGAAAATAGAGTCGTGGTGTTTTCTTCAGTGTGACAGTTTTCACTCTAGGTGGATCCTTAGGAATTAAATTCATCTTTATAGTTAACAAAGCTCTGAAATAGCCAAAACCCAGGAAGAGGGTGAATGTCAGCCCTGGTGGGAGGTTTCTGCAGGCACACAGGTCAGCTTTGGTGTTTTCAGTTCTACAGTGACAGGACTCATAACAAATCTGTTGATTTTTGTGACCTTGTACTTCAAGTGATATTGCTGTCAATCTCTCTTTCTTGCAGCTGTTGGTGTAACTTAGTCAAAGCCAAGCTGTTTTATAAATAATTTTATTTTTCTTCAGGGTCAATTTTGTACTTTAAAAAACTATTTCTGCATTTCCTGAGTCATTACCCCAATGCTGCAGAGGACACAGCAGGCAGAGCAGTGAGCACACCCCACTCTCCCAGACCATCCTGTGCCAGGGGCTGGGCTGGAGCACCGGGGGGCTGCAGGAACCTGCAGGGCTGCAGGAACCTGCAGGGCTCCTTACCCCACAGTCCAGTCCCAGCATGGCATTGCCCAGGCACAGAATGGGGTGGAAAGGGCAAGCATGGATGTGGATGGGCTCAACTGCCACATATGCTGTTAGTTCTGAATAATTTGTAAGTGTTATAAATTTTGTAAACTTTATAATGTGCTAAACTTTGGTTATGAGGTAACATTTACAAATAAAGGGTAATTTGTGTACTTGTTTTTGTATTTTGCTCTGGTGGGCTTTTTTGTTGTTGTGCCCCAAATCCAGATCATTGGGCAAATAGTTGTTAAACCTTGGAATTAAAACAAATAAATGCATTTTACTGGATACTGGATAGTCTTGTGATCATTCTAATTGTGCCAGGTCTGAGTCTGTCTTGCTTAGGACTTTTTATAACTAGGTAAGAATCACAGAGGCATGTAATATTAGTTCTTTATCAATCAGGTAAGAAGATGGAGGCTCCTGTCTGAAACAGTCTGTACAGCCTGATGTTGTCTACCTCGCACACAGCAGTTCCTGGGAGAACAATGGGTACTGGGATTTCTGGAATTCTAAGCACTTCAGTCTGACTTTTGCCTGTTACCTATCAGTCAACAGCATTTACTGGCAGAGCTCACTGCAGGGTGTAAATCCTTTAATCACTGTGTAAACAGGACCTGTCCTTGTCTTCCAGGTGCAGAGTTCAGGGAACTGTTACAGTACAAAGAGGCTTTCTCCACACTTCCTCACTGTTCCTACCCCAGCCTGGGCAATGTCCTGTAGTTCCCATTTCACAGCACTTCAGCAGAAGATGGGAGAACATGCACAGAAGCTTTCAGTTCACACCTTTGTTCAGAAAGCTGCTGTAGCAGCTGCAGGACTGCACTCAGCCCCACACCACAGGATGGCAAAGTAAAGTAGTGTTAATGTACTTTGCAAATGCTTCTGGCTGTAATAAACATGATTGCAGCACAGTCAGATGTATTCTTGTGACCCAGTACAGCTCAGACAAGCAGGTTATTGCCTTGTGTGCAGTTCTTGGCAAATGCTGTTCTTGGAAAAAGAACATACTGGATGTGCCCATCCTGTATTATTATATCTCCATTGCAGAGGATTCAAGTTTTCATGTAGCTGGGGAAAAGAATCAATTTTCCAGCTTAATTTCTCTGGCAGAGTATAAAGACTGATGAAACAGCTTAAGTAGAAATCCAGTGTGAAGTGCTGTATGGCAGCCTGAGTTGAACCAAGCAAGCAATTTCCCATTGCAGGCACTGCTGATTACTGTCAACAGCCCTCTATAACTAATTGGAAATTAGTTATAATTTTGTTGTTTAATACCAACAAATATGTAAGAATAAGCAAGTTTCTACATCTGAAACACCCCTAATGCTACTGGCTTGGTTTGATTTTTACACCATGGGAATTGGAGAGCTGGCTAAAGCAGTGAGAAGAGTGGAAACTCATTGTAGGAAGTGGTAACTGGCTCTGCCTTTCAATGGCCTCAGAGTTTTAGATTAGGCTTAGTGTAGGTTTTATACTAAATTTTACCAAATCTGTGAGCCAAGCTTCCATCACTGCTTTAGTATTTACTCAGGCAGGTTTCCCTTCAGATGTTTGTTCATCTCCTAAATCAAAGCTTCGGAACAAGTGAAGGAATGGCTGCATCAGACTCCAGCATCCAAAGGT